GAAACAAATGACAAAAAAGAAACAAATGGAAATTTTAGAACTGAGAAATTCAACAGAAATTATCCAATATAAAGAACAGAGATAAAAAGAAAAAAACAAAGGAGTCTCAGTGATCAGCGGGATAATATAAAAAAGTTTAACATTGGAGTCCCAAAAGCAGAGAAATATTGGTGCAGAAAAACATTTAAAGAAATAATAGCCAAAAGGTTCCTAAATTTAATTTGAAAATATATATTTACAGAGTCCAGCTCAGAGAACCTCAAACAGGATAAATTAAAAAAAAATCAAGTCCAGACACATTATAATCAAGCTGCAGAAAACCATAAATAAAGAAAAAAATCTTGAAAGCAGATAGAGAAAATAACATACATGGAAATAATAATAGGAATTAACATAGATTTCTCTTCAGAAACCACAGAGGATAAAAGACAGTGGAACACACAGTATCTCTGAAGTGCTGAAAGTCATGACAATCGAGAATTCCATTTCCAGCAAAAATACCTTTCAGGAATGATAGAGAGAAAATAATACTCTCAGATCATAGAAAACTAAAATCATTCCTTGCCAGAAAGCTTGCTCTAAAAGAAATGCTAAAGGAAGTTCTTAGTGCTGAAGGAAAATATAACAGGAAAACTTGGCATTTGAGAAATGAAGGAAGAGCTCTGTACAAAGAAAAAATAAAATATCAACTAGTTTTTGCCCTGTCTGGGAGGCTCTGTTGGTTGCAGCTTTATCCTGTACACCAAAATGTTGTGGGTTCAATTCCTGGCCAGGGCACATGACTAGGTTTCAGGTTCGATCCCTGGTTGAGGCAGGTGCGGGAGGCAACTGATAAACGTTTCTGTCTCACATAGCTGTTTTTCTGTCTCTCTTCTCCTTTCTCTCTCTCTAACATCAATAAAAACATATGTTCAGGTGAGGATTAAATATACCAGTATATATAAATAAAAAAATATATACTAGTTTTTCCTGTTTTAGTTCTTTCAAATATGTAACGTTATTGAAACAAAGATCAAAATTCATCTGATAGAGTCTTCAATATATGCAGACATAGTCTACATGATAATTAAAATGTAAGTGGCGAAGGATAGGAAATCTATATGATTGTAAGGTTTCCACATTTTCCTTGAAGCGGTAAAATGTAACCACTACATAGAATAAAAGATTAGGCATGTTAATTGGAAACTCCAGAGCGACCAGTAAAATATATTACAAAGAAATAAAGCCAAAAAACAGAGAAAGTAAATAGAACGCTAAAAATTATTCTGAATTGCAGCCAGAGCTCAATCTACAAATAATTTAGAAAAAATCATTTGAAGAGCAGTCCTATTTCATTCCTCTGTATCCAAGCAGTTTTTCTTACTCCATCATTAGCATACAAATGATACTAAGCTTTTCCAAATTGCTTCTCTGGCACAGCCTCCCATGGTCATGAAGTTCCATATTCTGCTAAACTTTAATCATTAATCATAATTAGTATAAAATTATTAAGTCATGTCTGACATACTCAATTGGGGCAATCACTAAGATGCACATATATGTTAAAACTGCTATTGGCTAGCTGCCACTTGAGTTACCTTATGGAAAAGGATTAATTTTAGTATCAAGGGAGAAAGTGCAATAAGTCCTCCCTTAGTGTCATCCATAGAATCTGTGACTTTAAGAAACACAACATACAATGAAACCAATTTTACAGGCTAACTGATATGAATAAGAGTTAAGTTCCTACAGTATCTCATCAATGTTATAAAAATATGATGTTGAATGAAATGACGTTATTTGAGGACCTGATGTATGAACACTGCAGAAAGACATATGCTATACGCTTTCATTTTTAACTTATGATGACTTTTCTTTGACCATTCTCCACAAGCTAGTGTCATGGTGATTGATGCCCCTTTTTGTCTTTCCAATTAAGACACTGCAATGCCTCCTTCACTTTAGAATCCAGAAATGGAATAGGTCCCTTCCATTTCCAGCTCCTCCTTCCCAAAATTGTTAACATTATATTCATTCATATTTTTCTTTTTTCTTACCCACATGGGCTGTTTCAGGGCTTCAAAAGAATACTGGACCAGGAACAGTGCTTGCTGTTCAAGAAGGAAAGTGCTACATGAAGTGTTTCTAGATAATGAATTTGATAATGGGACTTGAGTAATTCATTCAAGTAAGTAATTTAAAATAGAAATTCCCCAGATAAGTTCTTTTAAAAAAATAACTTCATTAGCATTTAATAAAATGTATGTATTTAAAACAATGAATAAATTAATTAGTGCTCCACTGGAATATCACAAGAAAATATGCATTTTTAAAAGAAGTCAAAATAAATTTTAATCTGATAGGGTAATGGCTTACACATATCCACTCTGAGGCGAAAGCAGTATGCTTTATTTTTAGAAAGGTGAGTGTGGGGAGATGACTTCCAAATTACTGACTGATCAAACTTTAGAATTATAATGGGCCTTGTTAATATCTAGAATAGTCATCACATTTTACAGACAAGGAAACAGAAACCCAAAGAAGTGAACTGCCTGGCTAAGATCACTGCTAGTTAATGGCAGGGCCAATATTATTATTACAGGCTTTTTGCTTCCCAGTTTCGTCAACTTTCTGCTATATAATAACAGGTAAGCAGTAGCAGCACACATTCATGAGGACCTACTACTTGCTGGACTCAATGATAAGTACTTTCATGAATTATCTTCTTTCAATTTCACGATCACTCTATGAGGTAGGCACACACCTTTGTAAGTGACAGAGTTAGAATCTGAACTCGGGTGTGTCATACTACCAAGAGGAGGTCTACAGTGTAGCCATGTCATGGGTACATTTAACACACACAAGTTCACCAGATAAAACACTTGCATGGTCGGAAGTGGGACACTGGAGGCTGAGAATTGTGATTGTCACCTTTCTCTCCACTCTAGGGATCCAGATAGGCTGTGTGACAAGACTTCAGGAGTCCAGCGAATCTTGGCTTTGAATTTTAGCTGTTTATTGCGAGGTTTGTAATCTTGGACAAGTTACTTAGCTTCTCCAAACTTTAGTTTCCTTCTCTGTAAGATGGGAATATAACATTTCCCTTAGAGTTGTGATAAAGACTAAATGAGATCATGCATGTAGAGCAGCTGGTACAATGCCTGGCACAGACTGAGTACTCAATAAATGCCAGTTCCATTTTTAAGCCATTATATTTTCACTACTTTCTTTCTGATAAATTTCCCCAAATTGCTAAATGTATTTTTAAGAAACATGATAATTTAAATAGATACTACATAACATGTAAAACTTTTCCCTCCCACGTGTAGTTCCCTGTACTGACTCTGGCCCATAACCTTCACTCTAAGCTTCCTCTACTGAAATTGGGGTCCATGCCAGCCGACACACAAGGCCTTTTAAAAAACAAAATGTACTTCATTATTTTGACCTAGGAACTGATTCAAATGTACATCTTTGATATGAGCCCTGATAACTTTGCTGAATCTAGTATAAATATCTCTTTGTAGAGACCACTGAACCACCCACCTATAAAGAGACTACAGCTGAAAGAACTTAAGGAGGGGCTTGGAATGAAGCTTCATTCTCCATATCCTGCACCGAGTTTTGGCCAATGCTAAGCAAGGATCAGGTATACAGGCCTAAGTCTCTGAATCACATAACATCAACTACCTCACTCCACTCTCATTCCAGTTCCCCTGAAATGCCTACTATATTGTAAGCCTCAGTAAAGGAGAACATGTTTGAGGAAGGGAGGCAGGGTACATGTTTAACAACTGGCCCTCAGAAAAGGGAAGCTGATTGACAGCATTTGCCAATATCTGTGGCATAAATATTCTTATTATGGCTGACTTAAACTACCAGTGGTTCAACTACTCTGTCTTTCAAAGTACCAAATGTAGCAATTGGCCCTTGCGAGCCAGTGGGAGCCAGAGGCAGCACCAGGCCGTCTGAAAGGTAACCCTAGGTTACTCCGGGCAGCAACTGGCCCGTCACCCTGTCAAAAGCAAGGACTTGCACTGCACTTGCAAGGGCTCCTTTGACCTTACTTCCTTGGGCTGAATCCTGATCCTCACACCTGTCAGCATGGTTCTCCTAATGCCAAGCATGAACCACCAGACTGGACGAACTCTTCAAATGCCCACTGCTGGCCTCCATCTACCAGATGGAACCACCTGACAGCAATAAAATGCCTGAATCAGACCTGAGCTTGCTAGGGTCCTCTTCCAATACCACGTTTTAGGTGACTCAGACACCTTTTCCAGTCTTTCTGGCCAAATAGCTAACTCTACATTGTTATTTAAGCCCTTGTTACTTAACAGCCAGTATGTCTTCAACCTAAATCACTTGCCTAATCTCAACCAACAGGTGTCAGAAGTTCAATAAAATTATTATAATATATTAGAATGCTTTCTGGTTATAAGAAAGGTATGGATGGGGCAACAAGAGCCAGTTGGCCAACACCACTAATACATGAGTTTTGTATTTGTATACAAATCTTTAAATCATCTGAGTTTAAAAATAAACCTTCTCTAATGCATTTATTATTATGCTGATATAGCAAGATGATTAGATCAAAATACCAAAACAATAAATGCCATTTTCTAAGGTTCTTTTTTTTTTTTTTTTTTTAACCTGGGTAGCTGCATTTACATGGAAAGCTCACCTACAGGCCATTACTATGAAAAAAAACAAAACAACCCTTTGCTACCCAATCACTGGAAACTGTCAAGCATTTCTATAGCCCAGAAAGAAACCTGTTTCATTTAGCTTCTGGGAAAAAAAGAATATTCAGAGGCACAGTAAGGACATGAGGGTTTACACCTTGATACATTTCAAACACTTACTTCAAAACATGATTCAGGTGCAGGACATGAGCTTTCCAAATTACATATTCTGTAAAGAAGTCTTGTCTGGACTGCCAGCTGATCAATCTCGAAAGTGGGAATAAAACAATATATAATAGCAGTTTCTATCACTCCAGTAAAGTTGAAGGCTCTTACCTGTACATTTGTAATCGGAGGCTACCCCTTTAAGCACAGCATCAAAAATGGTCATTTCCACTCTCTGCTTCCGGTGGTGACAACTCAGAAGCAAAGACGGCTGGGAGACAATGACGTGTAAAAGGGGTTCTAGCTGCAAATTGCCGGCCCCTCTTCGCCCCGGCTGCCGAACGATAGTTACACCGAGTGCCTGTCTCGCAGATGACCTTGTGGTTGCATGAAGACTTTCAAGAGAGATGGCCCCTATTTTTTTCCCCGCGGGAAACGGCACATTGCTGCTTAAGAGATCTTCTGCTGTGACTGTGGAAAGACATGCCTCACTGGATTTAGTAACATCTGAATCATCTTCTGGGAGATTTAATGAGCTCTTGCCTGTTTTTTCATTATCCTTCTGTTCTTGCGATTTCGATTTGGGTAAGGCCGTGCAGGAATATGTCATTAGTGAGATCCTACTTGCAGTAATAAATATGTCAAAGGGGATGAAATTTAGGTTTTTTACAATGGATGACTGGTGAGAGGGACGGGCGATGCGGTGCTGACTGGTACCACTGTGTTGCTCTATTTGCACTATTCTGATTTTAACACTGTCACTGCCAATGCCGCTGTCCTGGGCACCACTGCACCGAGATGAGGTGTCAGCCACGCTCCCATCAAATGTATCCATTTTTTTCTGTTCTTGCTTAGAGATCTGTAAGGAAAAACATGAAAACATTTTCAGCTAGTTACATTCCAAGTGTTATTACATAAAGGATGTTATATAAACATGTTTAGAAAATGGTAGTCTAGTGTAACTTATAATAATCATAAAAACAAACGAGGAGCCCATTCAAAAAATTATTCATATTAAAATGCCAAGGAACTATGTGAGAAAAAGCATCAAATTTGCATTTCCAGCATTAAAATACACTTTTGAGTGTCCGACTTTCTTTCTTTGGCCTAAAAAACAGTAGTATATATAAAAAATGCCTCTTTAAAGAATTAGTATTCTTTACAGTGATTTCCCAAGTAGTACAATAAACTGTTTCCAAATCGTGATTACTGTTGGTTGAAATTACACATTAGGTAATAGTTTACACTGTTTACCCTTGTCATTATAAAACTGATTTATAGGTTTCTGGGTAGTAAGAACATAGGGAAAAGTTATGAAAGACAAAGAAAAGTAAACCAAGATAAATGTATGCCATTCAAAATGTTTATTTTGCTCTACAATATGACTTGAAACAGTGTAAATGTAAGTGATCAAATAAAGTGTAAGCAATTAAAGCCCTTGAAGGTGGATTTTTCTTGGTGCACAAAAGACTACTCATCCTCAGAGCCTTCCATCAAGGACACGCTCTGAGGAGAACAGAACCTCCTGGCGGTGGCAGCAGTGATGGCCACCCTGGCAGCACAGCTCCAAGACCTTGCGTTTGGTTCTTCGTTCCACTTTCTTCGGGATCCCAACCATCAGTCTGCTATATGCTGTTTGGAAGCTAGATGTTTCACTTTCTTTTCCATCGAAGTAACCATGGAAAATCCGAGGAAAACCCCAATCCTCCCAACCCCCGTCATATCCCCAAACAAAACCAATGGTAACGCTTTAGTGCATTTCCTCCCAGTTTTTTGCCTTCCTGTGCAAAGGTTCCTCTCACCCCCTTATGGTTGACATTATACTGCAGAGACAACTTTTGTTACCCAATGTTTTTCCAAGCTAATATACTCTTCATAAATGCCACTTTGAAAGGCTGCACAATATTTCATTTTGTGTTAGAAACAAGTTATTCAACCATTCCCACATAATCAGACATTCAAGTGTTCAATTTTTGACAACAAACATCTCTGACAAACATCGAATACTATTTCCTCAGGACAGGCTCCTAGAAGTAGAATTGCTAGGTAAATAAAATGGTAAGAAAAGTTTAAGGTTATAGAATATTGCCAACACCATTCTAATTTTTTTTTAAAGTAGGTATGAATTTTTTTATATATATATTTTATTGATTTTTTACAGAGAGGAAAGGAGAGAGATAGAGAGTCAGAAACATCGATGAGAGAGAAACATCGATCAGCTGCCTCCTGCACATCTCCTACTGGGGATGTGCCCGCAACCCAGGTACATGCCCTTGACCGGAATCGA